TTACCAGAGCCCTCTGTTCCAACAGCTACTGGCACAAAAGCACAACTCTGTTTTTTTAAGGAAAATATTAAACTGTTTGAGGAAGCATCGTTGCTTCTGAATGAAGCAGAAAGAGCAAGGTAATGAAGGAAAGGACTCATGGAAAGAATCAAGCAAACATAAACAGTGGGGCAGATTCTGTTACACAGCTTGGAAACTAGCTCCCAAAACAAACCAAAAGGATAATTTCAAAAATATTTTAGGAAATGATGGCACAATTTGTAAAAGCCACTTTACAGCCATTTCTTTGAATGTTAGTGCTATATTTGTTTTAAATTTCCTGTCCTATTTTATTGCATGTTTAGCAGGAAGTTAATTCAAATGAGATAGAAAAGGCAAGATTCTATGCTTCGTTTAATGTTTATGGTAAAAAAAATCTGAGTTCTTAGTCTCTCTCACCATTATTATCATTAAATGCTTCCATTGATGGGTCTGCTCAAGTTTGGTCAAATTTAAAGCTTTGAGAATATTTGACATTATGAATTAACAATGTAATAAGGAGAAGGTCAAGCCAAAAAGTTCATTATACTCAGTCTTTAGTCAGTACTCTAGAAGAGCATTAAAATTAAAAAAGTATTTTATCAGATGGCTTTTACATAAATTATGAAACTTGTATGTTTTGCATGATTGATGGGGAAGCAAAAATTGCTATTAGTATTTCTTTTTCCTTTCTTTCATGGTAATGTAACTTTTATCTGGCACATGGATAACCAGGTAAATATTGCACTTCCTCCTTGGCAGCTAGGTATAGCATGACTAATGGCACAGCACGTCATTGGAACTGATATGTGCACATTTACAGGCATGCCCTTTAATGGCATATGGAGTCGTACTCTCACTAACTTATTTTCTTTTGATTGCCTGGAATGCCAGAAAAGAGTGCCGGAGGAACTGCCTTGGGCTATGAAAGTTGATACAAAGCAGTGAAACATGACAGGAAGAGTGAATCCCCAAACTCAGGGAGCCACCAGGTTACCCAGGACTGCCTCATGCCTGGCTTGGATGCTGCAGAGAAACCAGCTTCTATCAGTTTAAGTCACTGTCACTTTGGGTCTCTGGATTGCAATAGCATAACCTACATTCTAAATAATTTAAAATCTATGTGTTATTTGATTTAAAATTTAAAACAACTAATAGACTTATTTGTTCAATCAGTGGAAGAGCCAGTGTGAGAAATCAGGTCTCCTCACTGATACACGTGCATTCTTTTGTCTCCATGACAACAATGATTACTTTTCATCAGTTGTTATATCTGATATGATAGATATGTAACAGATTCTCTAAATACATCACAGGATTTAGAGAAAAAGAATTAATATTTACAGTGTATTTTACAGTTGACTCATTTAAACTCCTGAATAATTCTTCAGTTAAGTATAATTAAGGTTCATATCTAGTGAGTCCTGGAGCAGGCATTTTAGCACAGCTTTTAAAATAATATTTTCTTCATATTATATCATTTTCAAGTCATTTAATGAGACTCTATAAATATCTATATAACCTATATCTATTTAAATTTCTATCTATATAAATATCTAATAGATAACATAAAATCATTGGAAATCACTCAAATTGTTTTGAGTTTTATTTTCTTATGTTCATTTCTGCATTTGTGGTCTCAAATGTTACAATTCTAAGAAATGAGTCATTTGAAACTTAAAGTTGACAAAGGAAAATGTAATGTATATTTTATCTTAGACCCATTCACTTAAATTATTCTTTTATTTTTAACATAATAGCTTCATGAAGTTGAGTACTCTAGAGTAAAGAGACAGAGACAGAGAGAGAGAGAGAGAGAGAGATAGCCTTTTCATAACCCTAGAAAATATTTTCTTTGCACTTTTACCTATCTATGAGTTCCAGTAGGAAATTTTGTTTAAGATATGTTATATAAACTATTTATCAAATTCCACTTCAAATGGCTATCTTGGCTCTCTTTCACAGCACACTTTATGAACAATGGAAAAACCAAGGTGCCTTTTCTTTCTTTTACTGGTGAAATTTAAACAAGCACAGCAATTTGTTATAATAAGAAGAACCAGGCTGTTTTCAGCTCAACTGCCGAATTCCTTTTAGATATCTGAAGGTGAAGAACAAAATGCTACAAACATGAAAGTGGTTTTGTCTCCTATTAGGAACATTGCACAACCCTTCTGTGGTTATTTCATTGAAATGTTTAACCACATTAATCAAGGGTCTTTATTATTACTCTTTCAATGCCACCTGTTTTTCATTACCTTAATATTTTGTGGCTAACCTTAATAGATTTTTTTCACTCAGCATTAATGCTTAAAACTTCTTTTCTTTGTCTTCCTCTACTATTAAAGCTGAAAGCAGTGTGTGTCAAGAGCTTTAACCACCCTTGGAGCTAAGTGTGGTCATGTGAGAGGCTGTTAGACAATGAGACACAGGGGACATCTTTCTGAATAAAAGAAGAAAATGAATAGATCTGGTTGGCAGTGGTTCCTTCACTCAGTTCTCCCCTCACCATGCCACTGTCCTCCCTCTTTCTGGATAAACATGAATATGACATTTGAAACTATACTGATCATCTTGAAACCATAGCACCATACTTTATTCTTTATATTACTCAAATACTATTTCATATTTTCTCCATGATTAAAATTTAGTATTAAAGTAGTGTGTTTTCAAAGTAAAGGCATGTTGGAATCATTGTTTTACAATTTATAAGCTCTGCAGTTTTGGGTGTGATTGAACATACTACACATTTGTATCACATCTATAAAAGTGGACTTTAAAAAATGTATCTTGCAGGATGTTATACAGATTAGTGGTAAATTATGTAAAGCCTAGCAAGAGATCCACAAAGTTGACAAACTTCTAATAAGACTGACAAAAAAGAAAAACAAACTTTTTCATCTGGTTGTTATTGTTACTACTCAAACTCTGAGTCTGTTCTATGCAACTATGTACCATACATGTAATAAATTATTTCCCACCACTCTAGTGATTAAAGACAGTCTCTCAATACCGTCATGCCCAGTGTTCTGATCCCTCATCCAAAAAAAGGAGAAAATTTGACTTTTGAAGGACTGATATGATGTAAATATTCATCTCAAGGATTTTAGCTTTGTATAATAAATGTATTTGGGTGGTGGTTATTTATACTTTATTAAATTTTTAGTTTGTATACAATTGTAGGTTCACATGTAGTTGTAAGATAGGAGAGGGATTATATGTTATATTAGCTGTGTTTTTCAAAGAAGTATCCCAGCTCAAATAAGTTGTTGAAATATATGCATGTAGAGTTGTCCACAGTATGTCCTTCTCATCCTTTGGGCATCATCAGGGTCTGTAATGATGTCTTTTGTTCAGTTTGTGATATTTGTTAGTTGGATTTTCTCTCTTTTTTTCATTGACTATCTTTCTAGAAGTATGTCAATTTTGTTGATCTTTCAAAAAAAATCTCTTCTTTGTTACATTGATTTTTTTCTATACCACTTTTATGTTTAAATTTATTTGATTTTGATATGTTATCTTTCACTTTCATTCAGTTTAATGCATTTTTTACTTCCCTTGAAGCTTCTTCTTTGATTCATGGATTACTTAGATGTATGTTATTTGGTTTCTAGATATTTGGAAATGTATGTTATTTGGTTCCTAAATATTTGTTTCTAAATATTATGAACATCCATTTTGATCCCATGTGCTGAGAGAACACACTCTCTATGATTAAAATTAGTTTTAATCTGTTGGCATTTGTTTTATGTTCCAGGATATGGTCTAATTTGGTATAAATTTCATGGGCCCTTTGAAAAGAAAGTGTATTCTGCTGTTGAATGGAGTGGAGAATGTATGCTTATTAGGTGCTGATTGATTAGATCATTAGATGATGGTGTGTAGGAGTTTTTCTGCGTTTTTGTTAATTTTCTGTCTATTCTACCAATTGTTGGAAGAGGATTGTCAAGGTCTTCAGCTGTACTTGTGGATCTGACTGTTTCTCCTTTCATTTCCTTCCGGTTTTATTCATGTATATTGCAGCTAAGTTCTTTGGAGAAATATATGTTTAGTATTGCTATGTCCTTTCGGTGGAGCTACTCTTTTGTCATTATATAATGTCTTTATTTGTATCCATATTCTTTGTCTTGCATTCCTTCCCTAAATGGAATTTAGGTTAAATTGGTTTTATTTTCCTCTGATTTTTTTTAATACCAAAGGAAATAAAAAACTCCTGAGCATCAATTAAAAGTCAATGTCAATTAAAAGATAATTTTTTAATCTCATAGAAAATCTTGTGACATTTCTCTCCAATAATTAAAGCAATCCATTGGCAAACATGAATGTATTCTCCTTCCTGTTTGTTAGATTATATTTAATGATATTCGTTTCTTTGATTATCAAAGACTGTCATTGTAGGCAGTGCTATTTCTTGTGCCTAAGAATGTTTCTGAAAGTTACATCACTTAGTGATTCTTGCCAGGTTGAACATACACACAGTTTCTCATATCCTATTCAAATTAATCAATATTGAGCACATGAATGCTTTTGGGTGAGGCTGTTACACAGAGTGCAAGAACTGTCCCTGGGAAATTCAAAATCACGCACGTACTAGATGGAATTTTATTTTCAACTCTGTGAGTTGTATCAATTCTGTTCAGTAGGCCTAATGTTTGAATACATTGGTTATCTAATCAATAAATTATTTTCATGCTCAGAACTTCAAAAAAAAAAACCAAAACAAAATTTGTAGTTATATAAATAAAAGTTATAATCATGCTTCCAAAACAATAACTTATTTCTTATATTATGTTAATAATTGCCATTTTAGGTACGTTCTGAATGTTTTGCATTCTTTTCTTTAAAAAGTTATTAGTATTATTAACGATTGTGCACAGTATTTACTATAGCTAATAAATTCTTATTGCATTGCACTAAGATATGCAACACCTATATAAATACCTAAGCTAATGAAAAATTGCCTTTGTATTTGAAATATACAGAATAACATCAAAGAACTTGATGGCGTTCTTGCATCCATATTCAAACACGAGATACCATATTATGAGTTCCAGTCTTATCAAAATGAAATTTATGCTCAAAAACAATGTGAGTATTTTTCAACTGCACTAATTATTCACTAAGTTATGTGTTGCTGTATGTGACTCTTTAATAAATGCTATAGCCAATAATATAGCTAGCTGATTTTTTATACAACTCTTAACTCCTGGTAAAAGGATACACTGGTACAATCTTTTGAAGGTATTTTGGTAATCTTTTTTATTACAGGCCATGAAAATGTGAATAACTTCAAATTAGCAAAGCTACGTCTTGATTTTTATTCTAAGTGTTAAGTACACTTATGATGCATATTATTCACTATATCATTGTCTGTAATTACCAAAAATGGAAATAAATTCATTTTCCAAAGGTAGGTGATTTGTTGTGTAAATTTTGATATAGTCATTAGTGCAATCAGCAGAAATTAATTTAGTACAAATTTATTTGCTGGTTTTAGTGATACTTTGATGTGTGCTTAGTTGAATAGTAGCTTATGTATCATGTATGTTTATGTGTATATAAATTGATAGTCTGAATAGACATGAACCTAGTGTTTAAGATAGTTATGCTTATTTGTTTTATTTCAGGAATTATATACCTTTTATTTTACTGAATCTGAGTTTTCTACAATGACTGTATTATTTGTTTGATATAAAAATATACAAATATCAAGAAAAGTATACATTGAAACCACTCATGAGAATTTTTATTTCCAAATGTTAGCATGAGCTCAGTAGTATATTTTAGAAACTGTTCGCTCCTGCATAGTTTTTTGAAATACTATTTATAATTCATTTCCATGCCCAGCATGTGTGAAACACCAAGATGTCATGGTGAATAAGACAGGCATGGGGCTAAAGAATGTGAGAAGTCTTGTGTTGGCATATTGAGAACAAATGGGCAGGATTTTTCCATAAGGTTTCTTTGCTATTTTAGGCAGTTTTATCATCAGCCAGGCAGGCTTCAGGGCAGCAGTAAGAAAAGAGTAACATCCCTAAGGCACAATTGATTTTGATACATCTAAATGTGTGAGAAGCTGAATAATGGTGACAGCTCATCATAGGGAAAAGTCAGTGCTTTGCTAGTTTTTAATAAATAATCTTGTGAGAGTAGTGAAAATTTATTTTTGTTTTCCACATACATTTTAACAATATAAAGTTTACTTATAAAAGTAGACATTAGATTAGGATCACAAAGGAGCATGACATGATTTCTCTTAAGACACTTATAATTTAATTGGGGAAATATGATAATACATGCAATAATAGAAACAAACAGTGTGATGGACTTTTTGGAAGTGATTATATTGACAATAGGATTTTAGAGAAAAGATAGATACATTATTTTTCAGGACATGCTTCAGAAAGCAGGCAGGATTTTACTCATGTTATAAATAATGGAAGTGGTCTCATTGAGGAGGGAAATAGGAAAAATGAATTCTAAGCAAATGAAAGTACATGCAACAGTATGAAGAAGGGATTATGGCAATGCTAACAAACTTCTCCAGTATTACATTTGTTTTAGGTTTATATAACTGTGGAACTTGAGAGGATGGGATGCTTTGGTCTCTTATTTTTACAAGGAAAATTGAGAGTTGGAAAGAGCTATAGTTTGGGACCTGAAATGTCTCCCACCGGTCCATGTGTTAAAGGTTAGTCCTAGTTTGGCATTGTTGGAAGGTGGTGGAAACTTAAAGAGTTGGAGCCTAGTGGGAGGATTTTATGTTGTGTTTCTGAATAAAGGGGTTTGTGAAATCCCACCCTTCTTCTTCTTATGTCTCTCTTTCATTCTTGGCCACGAAGTGGATGTAATTTCTCCACCACATTCCTGCCATGGTGTACTTCCTTGCCACAGGCCCAAAAGCAATAGAGCCAACTGAATATGAACTAAAACCCTCAAAATGTGAGCTAAAATTAGCCTTTAATTTTATTAAGTTGATTGTCTCTGGTATTTGGTTATACTAATGGAAATCTGACTAACACAGAAAGAGTGGGATAGATTTGGTCCCTTATTTTTAGAGATGAAAATTTCTAGGTTAGTTAAATCAGAGCCCCCGAACACGTATAGCTAATCTAGTAGGGCAGGGATAGTGTTAAATGCCTGACTTTATAACAAGCTCCCAGGAGAAGCTAAGGCCACCAATCCTCAGAGTTTCTCACCAAGTGTCAAAATCTTAGAGAAGTGGCTCTTAAACTTGTCTGCACATTGAAATCACTAGCAAAGCTTCAGAACTATCCCACACCTAAGCTATACCCTGTACCAGTGAATGAAGAATCTGGGGGTAGGGACCTGCTATTGGTAGTTTTTAAAGTTTCTAAGGTGATTCCAGTGGGCAGACAAGTTTACCAGACCCTAATTGCTTCAATGTATTACAAACCATCAAAAAATAATTCATTCTCATACTGATTTTTGACACAAAGAAAATTTTAGTTTGTCTTTCCAAAAGGTAGAAAGTTTGTAGCTATGAAAGTTTTGAACCATTACTAAAATTTGGTGATAATTATGTAATTAACAAAAATTTTTATGAAACACAGCTATGTTTTTTAAACACTAATAATGGAAAGTTCATTATAATGTGATAATTTACCCAGAAGTCCTATTGCTGGGTATTGCTTGACAGTAGATGCTATTAAACCTATGACAGTACCAAACAATCTTCATAGTATTAAGTTCTAATTCCTACTTGAAATACAAAATAACATAACATAAAATACATAAGAATATGCAAGGCTGAGTGCTATTGACTTATGCCTGAAGCTGAGATCAGAAGGATTATGGTTCAAGGCCAGCCCAGACAAGACCCCATCCCCAAAATAACCAGACCAAATTGGACTGGAGGTGTGGTTCAAGTGGTAGAGCACCTGCTTTGTAAGCACAAAGCCCTGAGTTCAAACTCCAGTCCCACCAAAAAAAAAAAGTGTATGCAAAATAGACATAACATGTTTTGCTTTCCTCCTTGACCTTCTAGTCTTGGATCAATGTCAGCTACATATTATCTGATCTTTACAACCTTGCACTTGTGTCTCATAATACCCATGTTGAATTGCTGAATAGGTTTGAGATACCTTTGTTCAAAAATTGATTGTAAAGGATTAGGGAAATGCTATACTCTCGAGGAATCTATGAGAAGTATTCTGAGAAGTAGGTTTTGCAAACAGTGAATCTGATGTAACCCCAGATGTGTGTCCTGGCACAGGTCTAGAATTATTTGATGAAATGTTTAATTATTAAAGATATATTATTTATTTATTTATATTTTAGCTGAAATAAGATGGAGGGTAGGGTATTATGAGGGAAACACAGCCATAATGAATTGGCAAAGTGTACCTTGAGCATTGACCTAACTTAAGGAAAATCCATGGAATGACCCACAGACTGACGTGGTTCCTTAAAAGTATGGAGCTAAGAGCTACAGTAATCCAAACTGTTTATCTTATTATTGCTTATCCTCTCTTCTCAATGTCACTGTAGAAAATTCTAGGCTTCTTTTCCTGTCACTAAATTTACAATAAGTAAAATACTATTCCACATCATTATACCTTGTCCAGGCAGTAAACTTCTTCATTTGACATATGTTTTCATGTTTCACTGTAGACAGGCAAAGTTAGGGATGGATGTAGATAAGATGGAAAGTATATAAGCAATAAAAATCTGCTTTAATATTCTCTTATTTTACAATGTTCTATTATTGATTTAAAAATAGCTTGTTCAATGGACAAGAATTTTCCATAGGAAAAGAAATTCTCCCTGGGAGTAGAACAACATAAGATTTCTAAATGAATTTGGTACATTAGTGTAACATAGGACTTTTGAACACAAGAATCAGAAATAATTTATGAATGACTTTGCAGTGTGTGAATCATTGGAGACTGTGAAATCAGTATAAGAGATTGTGATAGCCAATTTTCACTGGTGTGTAAGATACTAGAACAGAGAATATCAAAGTGTACCACCTAAAGAGCAGGTATTATTTTAAGTAACTGCTATTTTAGTTGTAGATTTTATATGAACACACATGCTTTGGGACACCATCAAAAAAATCTAAATGCTGGTGACTTGATGACGTGGTGAAGAAGAGCAGCACAGTCAGCCAACATAATTGTTTTAGCTCCTGTAGCTCTGGCTTGTTCTGTCTGAGTTTCATACCTTCTAAAAAGTCTCATAAGTCTCACTGCAACAGGTCTATGAATTTTCTTAACTTCTCTTTACCCTTCCAAGGCCTGGGTAATGCAGTGAATCTCCTGTCATGGACAGAAAAATACAGTTTAGCTCGTTTTTGAAGAGGCTACAGTTACTGGCTCAATCAGTGTAAGTGGCAGTTAGTTTAGAGAAAGGGAAGCTATATTATTTTGCTCAGGTTTACTATTTGTATGGAGAAAGGAGAACTGGCTTGGTTAAACCCAGGCCAGTTTCTAGAATAGCATGTCAAAGCATATGTCTACTTGCAGTAATATTTACATCTAAAAGAAGAAAGCATACCATCACCAGTGACATGTGAAAGTAGTAAGTCAGAATATTATTTTCTAATTAATAGTAAGTGTGGTGAATGGAACTGGACATTCAGTACACGTGTAGTGATGACTATAGCTGTAGATATGTCTTGGACTTGTAGTATCTTTGGGTTCACAGAGAATAGATCATTTGCTGAATGGAGGTGAGCTAAAATGCCTATTAGGTTCTTTTTTTTATAGCATTAAAAATTTAAGCATGCAGAGAAAAAAGTATGATATTAAAAATGCCCTGTTTCCACACTTAGCTTTGTCAAATTTTAACATTTTGCCAACATTTGCTGGAGATATTTTTATGAAATAAGATGTTACAGATTGAGATTAATTTCTGTCTCTGTCATGATTCAACTCACTCAAAAAGCAGACTATTTATTTAAATTTCTTGAGAATAATTTCCATAAATTTTTAACATACCCTGTAATATTCACCCCCTGTAACCCTATGTAGTTTATATTCCTACTCTTGCTGTTATGTACAGAATAGACTTAGACATGTGAAGATGGAAGCAGGGACTCTGGAACAGTAGCTGTTCTAATAGTG